CGACCAGCCCGTCACGGCTCTCCCTTTGGCCTGGCAGACCTGGCAGACCAAACCCCAAGGCTTGGGTGCTCCTGAACAGGCACCCGCATCCGTCACCGGGCGAGTACATGAATTATCTGGGGGGTCTGAGAGCTCACCGGGTCTCTCGGCCTTGAAGGAAAGCTGGGCTATTGGCTGGAGTTTCTGGGAGCTATTGGCTGGGGTTTCTTTAGACCCTCCATAACAAAAAAACCAGAAAATAAATGGGTTTTTAATTCTTCCCTGACTTTCCCCAAATGAAAGCCCCGCTCTGCTTCTTCCCAGCCCTCCGCTGTGCTGCGTAATGAAGTGCAGATGACGCTGGTGCAGGTGTTCAGGGCGCAAGCGGGGAGCTGGCAGCGCGGCAGCACCCCAGGAGCGCCGGTGGCCCGTGCCAGGCGCTGCCTGACCGGCACCGCGCCGCCAGCACCGCGCGGCCCTTCCCCAACCCGCGGGGACCGTTTCTAGCCCTGCCACGAGCAGTGCCCTCCCTTCATCTGCTGCCGGCGCAAGCTTGACTCGCTCAGCAGTGAAGAGAGCCTGGGACCAGCGTTTTGTTGTGGTGGTGTTTCATTTGTTTGGAGGCCAGATATTTATCTTCCCTCTAACAATTTTTTCAGCCACCCGTCCACTTATTTATTTATCTTTCTCATGCTTAATGATTTGCAAGAGCATAAGCAGCCTGTGGTCTGGAAACCATGGGGCAATCTCCGAGCAGCACCAGAGATGGAGTTCTGAGCTACTTTCGAACATGAATAAATAAACAGCGTGGAAAGGCTCCATTGTGTATATTCTAGGTTGCTATTTTCTTAACCCTGTCTCATTAAGATGGATGGAGTTTCTGCTTATTAGTAATTTGGCAAGTTCCTCTTTGTGTACACTCCGCACTTCTCACTAATGACGCTCTGCTTCAGTGATTAACAAAAGAGACTTCCAACATCGTCAGTGAAAACACAGCCACGCACTTGGGGCACTGGGACGGAGACCCAATGTTCTGGAGATGCCGTTTGGGGAAGACAAGAAACTGCAGGGAACCCACAAAAGGAAAAGCTGCTGGTCATAAAACCTTTCCTGACATTCAAATAATTTTGACCTAAGGACATTCATTCTTTGATTTACACGCAGAATTGCAGAGCTGACAGAGCCTATAACAAAGTGATTCAGGGCCCTTACACTGCTGGGCCTAAAACACGTCCGATGGAGATGAAGCTGGCACTGCTACCGCCTGGATTTACAGCTGGCCATTAAAGTATGTTTACAAGCCTTTAGTACAGTGTACACATCTGGTAAATCATTGATTGAGCAAATAGCTCCTGGTGTCATGCTCCCTCTGTCAACTTTTTCCACTACTATGTTACCCAGCGCAGAATCATCTGCTCCGAGCAGCCGCGCGCGTACCCGGATTGGCACGCGTGGCCTGGGTCGTCACTGCGCTCTAGATGCCGTTGGACATGCCCCCACACAAACCCCGCCAGACGGGTCTTTGGCACACCCAGCTGATCTATACCTTGCCTACGAGCAGGGGAAGCGGTACGAGCTGCACAGGACGGTGCCAGCTAGCTGTGCGAGGGGCAAGAAATGAGAGAGGAGGCTGTTGCTTCCTAGGGATGTGCATGAGAGAGGAGAAGGCGATGAGGAGGGCCTTCGCCAGCCTGTCGGCTGCCTTCCAGCAAGCTGGGCAGGCGTTTACCGGTGCCCGCACACAGGACACACGCAGCTCCCCGGCACTGGCCGGCACCCCAGCCGGCTTCAGGCTGGGCTGGCGGGCATAACTCAGCGCGGCAAGGGGGACGTGGAAAGCATCAAGAGAGCAATCCTGCAACTGGAGACACTGCAGGCAGACCAAGACCCCGGAGCCTCACCAGCAGGCAACATAAAGGTCCTAGATGAAGCCAGACCTAAGAGGGCAGCTCTTCTCTGCCTGCAGGCACACGTCAGCTGAGTGAGACAGACAAACGTCCCGTCAGAGCCAGGCTGCACCAGCAGCGTAGGCACCGTCCCCCCCACGCCAGCTGAGAGCTGCCAGCTCCACCCCGGCACCGAGGGCTCACGCCAGCGAGCGAAAGGCAGGGCTGGCAGGGCCTCGGGTTTGCCGCATCGGCACAGGCACAGTGGAAAAAAAGCAGGATGGAGACAGGGCGGAGAGCCAAGAATGTGGGGGGAAGCAGCATCCATCTCCCTGGCACCGAGGAGGCATCGCACACAGCCCACGCACAGGACCCGCGCTGGGGTCTTCCCTTGCAGCAGGAGAAAAATGCCGTGTTTGGTGTTTTACCAAGCATGCCAGTGCCCGGGGCTGGGGAGCGGGGGGAGCTGCGAGCCCCCCCCACGACTCATTGTGCTTCTGTGAGAGCATCTGGCCAGCTGCGCAGTGATCTGTGGCCAAACTCTCACTCCCCTGGCCACGGAGCTGGGCAAAGGCCAAAGGGTAAAGGGCAAACCACGGGAGCAGAAACAAAGCTAGATCAGCTCATTCATGCAAACCTTTTCAAGAGCTTTTGGGTGGCTGGACAGACAGACATGGGAGAGCAGGACTTACCGCCCACATGTGAATCGCCATAGGGACACACAGGCTGCCAGGTCCTGCACAGTCACTTTGCAGCAGGTGGAAAGGAGGTGTGGGATCCTGCACTCGCGGCGGGATTTTAAGCAAAACGAGGGTGCAGGGACGGCTCCCAGCTAGAGACAGAGCTCAGAAAAGCAGGGGGACAGTAAAAAACGGGTTTTGCAGGGAAAGGCACTGCATCCCGTCCTGTTCCGCACACCTGCGGGGCAGCTCCCACCATCTGCTGCCAGCCCTCCCCGCCGCAGCGCAGGTCGGTGTTTGCAGGGCCGGCGGGGCACCTGCCAGGGCTCGGGCAGCTACCGACGGTGGAAACCGTGTCAGGGAAGGGGGAATCGCCACAGAGCGAAGGCAGGAGGGGAGCGGAGTCCGTGAAGGCAGCTTGGAAAAGGCGACCCAGAAGGCAAGCAGGGGAGAGCTCCCCGCTGTTATCCCACTGCAGCAGTGACCCAGGGGAACGCAGCCTAGAGAAGCATTTAGCCAGCTTCCACCCTGCCCAGGTCGCTCCTGCAGGCCAAGGACTCATTCCCCATCCTGGTCCGTGCTCTTGGACACTGGGCGATGTGGGGACCGGGAAAAGCCAGCACAGAGAACTCAGGCAGATTCTCACCTGGGCTTGTTGAAATTATACACGGGACAAGCACAGCTGCTACAAACAATTTTAAAACAACAACAAAAAAATGCAGTCAGATTTAATTGTTAGCAATAACCTCTTAAAATAGCAGCTCATTAGCCCAAGTGCAAACAGCTTAAAAGTGTCAGCATGATTTGTGGGATCCTGTAGGGTCTTCTGGGATTTTCTGGGGTTCCTGTAAGACTAATGCAAAGAAGAAACACAGCCCCTACGTCCTGAAGAGTAAAAAAAGTATTTCACTTCCCATTAGCACATGAAAAAGCAGCTCTGACACAGGGTAGGCTGCCATTTTGTTGCAAACCCAGAATCTCAAGGGCTGCAGGGGTGGGAGTGCGGAAACAGCGGACACCAGACAACAGGGCAGATCCGTTGCGCCCTTCGAAGCTCGTAAGGAGGATGCTGCAGCAGGACGCACGACGCTTTCAGCAGCTCCCTGCAGCCGGGCGGGAGCGCGAGGACGAGGGACCACGCGGCTCAGCCCCCTGCACCCACGCTCTCCTCCCACCCTGCTGACCCCAGAGCCACGGGAGCTGCCCCGCTTCCCGCCGTGACCCCGCTCACCCACCCGGGTGCACCTAAATCCCACCGCACCCGGGAACTTTGGGCCATCCTTGAAGTTAAGGTCTTGCTTAAGCGCTTTCCTGAATAAAAACTTTTTAATTCACCAGGAAAGTGCCTGCAGGGCAGGAACAGCCCTGCTCCCGCGTCCTCTCTTTACCCTTTACCGGCTGGGAAAATGTGGTGGCTTTGCCCCGAGGCAGCTGTGCCTTGGGGTGGGAAGGGAAGAGGCTGGGCCCTCTCCCTCCATCCCTACTGCGTCCCTACTGGTGCTGGTGCCAGCTTCTGAGAGAGACTGGGAGATGTGGGCTTGAGGTTGATTTCCTGGGGCACAAGAGCCCCTGAATTTCAGGTTTTTAATGGGCTGGCAGGGCATCCGGGAGGGAGGAGAGGGAAACAGACTTTTCCTTCCCCCATAAATAATTTTATGGAAGATTTTAAGAGAGATTTAAAGAAGAACCTCTCCCCGCCCTCCCCCCCTTCTTGACCGTACTCTGCGTTTTAAACCGTTTGCGGAAGGGAATTAATTAGCACAGGCAGCAGAGCCCAAAGCTCTGCAGCAGCCCGTCCTCCGCACAATGGAGATCCGACTTTTTCTCCCCTGCCTGAGAAACACATGCCCAAAACCCAAGTACATAAATTTTTTCGAACCTAATTCATTTTGTAGATTGATGGAGAAAATCCATAACAAATATTTATGACTTTGCAATAAATAACCCTCACAGAAGTTACAAAGAGCTCTGGCGAGTCTCAAGGTAACTTTCAGCGAGTTCCAGGGGTCAGGGCAGACCGGGATACTAAGTCTATAGTGTTCGAGCCTTTGGCTCATCTGTTTTGAATTATTGGTATTAGTCAGTTGAGCAGCGCTCTCAATGGAGTAGCTGTGCTGTGATTCCATGCCATATTTTATTTCTATGGTGGGAGAGAGGCTTCAATAATTATTAGTTGTACTCTTGCAGCCAGCAAAAAAACAGGCCCCAGTGAGCAGGGGTTAGTCCTGCTGGTGCTTGCGGGCTGAGCTGTACGGGCTGGAGAAGGAAGGTGTCCGCGCCCGAGCAAGACCTGCTGGGACGGGATTCAGGGCTGGACATTGTGAGTTTTGCTGCCAGTTCAAAACTTGGACCTGCTGAGATGCTCGCGGATTGTCCGGTGCTGCCTAAAAGGCGCTTGTGCGGCCACTGTGTTTGCACAGGCAGTGGCCAGTGCTACCGGCCAGGCCGGCACCAGGCAGAGCTGGGCAGCAGCATGGGCAGACCTGCCCTGCACAGGCTGAGAGCGCCCTTTTCAGCCCCCGTTTAAAGGGATGTTAACGGCGTTTCAGCCCCCGTTTAAAAGGATGTTAACAGCGTTTCAGCTGCAGCCTTTGCTGACTGCAGCGATGCCTGCCTAGGGAGATGCTGCACCGCAAAATGCTAAAGCCACTGGTCCAATGCAAAGGGGCCGAGGTGCAGCGGTGAGACCGCATAGCCAAGGACCACGTTCCTCAGCCTGTTTTGGCCATTTACACTTTGCTTTCCGTTTTCCCATGGGATCCTCACCTTTTCACCTGTGCCGACCCCAAAGCATGCCCGGCGCTGTGCTGGGGACCACCGCCCACCTTCACCATGGTCGGACGGAGCCGTCGCCGGGACCGCACTGCCGCAACCGTGCACGCTCGGGCAGCAGCGGCCGTCTGCCC